TTTGAAGCTTTGTTTTGCTGCCACAGTTGGAATGATTAAAAAAAAAAGAAAAAAAAGGGCAGGCGGCGGATTGCATATTTTAGTTCCAGTACAAGTGGGGCACTGCTAGAAGTGGTGATAAAACATGTGATGGATAAGACGTTTTAAAGGTGACGTCATCAAATGTACATTGGATTAAAATAATGTCTTTTTTTGACCATGGGACACTGCACTATCATATACGACTTTACTTTTAGATATCCGCTCTGCAGTCGGGCTCAAGAATACTTCATAACTCATCACTGACCCCTGCTCTTTACGGCGCCACCTTGTGCTACTGTCACTGTTAAATGCCTATTGTGTGAACTTTGTGTACATTTGTGTTTTTCCTGTGTCAGCCGGGTCCTTCTGTGTAGAGTTTGGATGTTTCTCCCTGTGTCTGAGTTTCCTCCTGGCGCTCCGGTTTCCCCCACCGTCCAAAACAGGCACCATAGGTAAAATATTTCAGCAAAGATAGCCCTGAACAAGCAGAGCCTCGACATATACAGATAGTTTTTGTATGCATGCTTTTTATCTGTTTTTACTTCTTTGCACCATGAGCCAAAGCAGATTCCGAGTTTGTGACTTCCTGTTACTAACAATTCTTGGCACTTTCTTGGCAATAAAGACGATTTATTATATATATTCAGATTTTTCCCACCCCTTGGCATGACTTTGACCAGTAAGATTTGATGGAGGCTGAAGGCAAACCAATTTCAAGGCAAATATATTACAATTAGTATAACCTTTTTTGCACGAGGTGAGAAATATTTTGAATTTTGTGAATTTTATCTATCAATCATTTATTTGTTTAGCACGATTCATGAACAAGGCATTTCAAAGTTCTTCACAAGAGCAATTTAAAAACACAGATCAAAATGCATAACAACAAATTAGATTACATATACAGTAATTTCATATTTGAACCGAGCAGTATAAAAATATGGGGCTTAAAACTCTCATTAAAATATGGGTTTAAAACGGGAGATAAAAGCCATAAATAGTACATAATGAACGAACCAGTTGTATGCACAGCTAAAAGTATGTGAAATGATGTCATTTTATTCTATAACGTAAATTGGGAAGTGCACTGGTTCAACAAAAAGGGCAAAGATAAAGAATGCTGAATGATTGAATACTTGTCAAAAACAGAACAATTATAGCATGTTTTATGATCCTTGCACTTTTACAGCCGGAGAGTGGGAGATGTGAGGCGGGCGTCACAGTCTGGTAACTTTCAGACCCTCCCAAACTCAAGAAATGGTTCAATCGGTGCGTTCATACTGCACCCAAAATCAAAACACATTATTCTAAATGTATCGTAGTATTTATAATAATCTATTGGTTTTATATAACGCGTTTCAGTAGCCACAGCTGCCCTGGGGCACACTGACAGAAGCGAGGCAACCAGTCTGTGCCATCGGCCCCTCCCACCACCACTAACCATTCACACACACACCAGACTCATTCTAATCATGATCATAGACTGTATATAACTGGACAATGCTAACTCCCTCCTAGCTCAATGAAGCGCATGGGGATGTGCTCATGGACAAAGTTTCGTCTGGTTCCTATCGACGTACATAGAAAAGTAAACTCCTCCAGCTCAGTAATAGTTTGTCACACCATTTTCGGCCTTAAAAAAATGTTTTAACAACTCTATGATCCTGTTGCTTATATATTTTCATGTATTTATGTGTTCATCCAGATATGAGCAGCATTGACCAATCAGGGGCCTTCATTCCTGGGGTTAAACTTCAGCTGGCCTTAGCAACCACCTTAGCAACACGTCTGCCCCTTTTGCTGCACAAAGCTAACCCCACCACTATAGCATCACTTAGCATGTTTTATACAACATATTTTCACTTTTACTTGAGTAGCTTAGGGATTATGTTTAAATTACTCTGCTTTTTTTTTTAGTATTGAGTGAGTATTTGAGTATTGAGTGAGTATTTTTATCTTGATAAGTCACTTCAGTTAAACTTGAATAATATTGTTTTGAAGTAGAATCCCTCCTTTGCGTCTTTGGCTCCAATGCATTTCATTTTTATCTGCAGACATACTGGTAATTTTTTTCTCCTTTTAGCCCGTGTCTCGACATTTATGGAATTGGGTTGTTAAACTAGGGCTTGGGCTTAGATTGCATATTTTAGTTTTCTATTTAGACATTAAAACTTTACTTTGCATTTCCGCATCACTAAGTTGTTTATCTGCCTCGGCGCTCCTGTGACATAATTACCCGGTAAAGGTATGATATTGGAATATGCAGCAGTAGGGTCCTGCTCTTTGATGTTTGCACTGCTCTAGTATTGTGTGAGAGCCAGAAACCAGATCAAGAAGAAGATTTCAACCTTTAGTAGAGATTACTTTTGTTGAGGCAGCCTTTGTGGTTGAACTTAATCAGCGTTTTTACAGTCAAATAGCAATAATTTTCTAACCACATGTGTATTTGACAGGATGGAGACAGTGAGAAGCTGCTCTGCTCTTGCTTCCTGACCTATTTGTGGTGCGTCACTGGCACACGGGCTGCAACAGTTTCAGTCTGATACATATACATTATTTTATAAGGCTGCAGACTGCAAAAAGTGGTGAAGAAAAGGCCAAAAACTGCTCAAAATTTGGCAAAATGTATCTTAATTTGAGCACATTCTGACTGCCTTAAAACGATATCTGCCAATGGGGAGAAGCAAAATCATCTTGTTTTAAAAAAGATATAAGAAATGACTCCCTTAGAATGAGAAAATAAAGAATAAATGGCTTTTCCCCATTGGCGAATCTTATTTTAACCCTTTCGGTGCCAAAGGGGCGGAGTTGCTACACAATCGCCTAAATCCAGAACACTTTCTATACAGCGACTTTGCTTGGTATCCTTACATTTTTACTACATCCTTTTGTCTATGTATTTCCATTATTGATTAAAGTATTCCACTGTCCCTTATTAAGTTACGGGGTGTCACCTTTTGGCTCTTTTACAATCTATTTCTCGACAACAAAAAACACTGGGGCCTAAAGGGTTAAAACAGAATGTGCTCAAATTAAGATAAAAAACACTAGATTCAAGTATTTATTACCTCATTAAACATTATTTTTTGCAGTGTGGCTCAAGTTTAGTTTGAAAATGTTGTTGTAACGTTGTGTCTATTTTACGTTTATTGTGGTCTGCTCTGTAGAGATCTGGCCCATTTTGAAAAAAGAAAAAGAAAAAAACTTGTTAGAATAAGCACTGATCAAGGCCTTTTGTCTGTGGTAATCCTTTGCAGTGCAGTGTTCTCCAGCAGTAGCTCTATGTCCACCATATCAAACTGTTTAAAGTTTTTATTATCGTTTTTATTTTTTTTATAATTCTGCCAGTGATTAGTTTGTGTAAGCTCTCAGTCATACAGGGATTAGTCAAAGCAAAGGAGATAATTCTGCCAGTGGTGCTTACTAGTGGTTGACTCATACGGTCTAGAGCTGGTATTCATGTAGTATTCATGTAGTATTCATGTGGTATTCATGTAGTATTCATGTGGTATTCATGTAGTATTCATGTGGTATTCATGTAGTATTCATGTGGTATTCATGTAGTATTCATGTGGTATTCATGTAGTATTCATGTGGTATTCATGTAGTATTCATGTGGTATTCATGTGGTATTCATGTGGTATTCATGTGGTATAAAGAGCTGGTATTCATGTGCCTTAAACGTAATAATATTGGTGTCAAAAGTTGTAACAATACAAACTCCAACGCTTAATGTTTTTGAAATGCCTAAAGCGAAACCAAACAAAAGCAGAGTTGGAATGATAAAGCGCTGGAGACTGTGGGTGGGCAGATCTCCCAGGTTAGAGAGGATGACTTGTTTTTGATGTGTTTTTATCAAAATAAAGTGTCCTGTTATTTAAAGTGAGTTACTTTTCAAACTGTGAAGAGAGAGTAAGTTTTTAAAAAAAAAGACAGCTACTGATTAGACCCGCCCCTGCTCCACTTTGCAGCTTCCTGATTGGTTGAAATGAATTTGAACGCTTAAGGCCTTTTTTCATTGGTTTGATTGTTCTCCAGCAAATCTTACTGGGTGCAGTTATGACCATTTTTTTTTTTTTTTTGTATGTAGTATTATTGAAACATGTTGTGCAGTGTCTCATGGCAAATACAAATATGAATTTTTGTAGTTGCTGACTTCACCTTTAATTTAATTTTGACTGAAATAAACCAATTTATTTCAGACTTTAATATTTCAGGGTGTACAACTATATTAAAACTACAATTCTGATTCTAAACCAAACAGGCATCGCTCTACACTGTATGTGCGATGATAAATGTTTGTTTTTTAGATTATATCAATTATAATCTCGTGCTGATAATCTGTCGACTCCAAATACATTCATATTAGTTCAGTATGGAGTTTGCATGTTCTTCTTGTGTCTGTTTCTTCTGTGGTCTTGTATCCTCAACTAAATCATGAATCGGTATCGGTATACAGTATATAGCTTCTCCTAACCGAGGAGATGACACTTAATCTCAGCTGGGCTTTCTTAAATAAAAATCTCTGAAGTGAACTAAAAGACTACATCTGGTTAATAATGAATAACACAGTTTTAATCACCTACATCTCTAGAGGGTGAATAAGGCCGCGCTCCTTCCACCGTACAAAGCAAACAAAAAGTGTGCCTAAAATGCACACTGCTATTGCTATAACGTATTCATATAATGTGCTAGTTTCCTTGGCCTATTGTGCAATATATGAATTACTTTATAGCAGAGTATCTTGTCAATTCTTTTAGGCATTAGCTTGGATTTAACATAATTTTTTTTCTCTTTCCTCCCGCAGGTGCCGTCTCCATTCTGAACCCATTCCCCAGACATTCCCAGTCTGACGCTCTGGCCACCATACTGTAACACCAGCGCTAAAAGCCTTTTCCATTACTCTGACCACCCACCCAATTAGGAGCCAGATGGCACTTCTGGCCAATCAAATCATGGATGCCAGACTCCTCGGCAGCATGAATGGCAGAGAGGAGCTTTCCCATTTCCTGAGGGTGACCAATCATAGCATCGCATCGCAGGTCAACTCTCCACCTGACGACAACCTTAAAAACCGAAAATACCCGTGTCCGCTGTGTGGCAAGCGCTTCCGATTCAACAGCATTCTGTCGCTCCACATGAGAACGCACACCGGGGAGAAGCCCTTTAAGTGCCCGTACTGCGACCACAGGGCAGCACAGAAGGGCAACCTCAAGATACACCTTCGTACCCACAAGCAAGGCATTCTGGGAAAAGGACGTGGGAGGATAAGGGAGGAAAACCGCCTCCTGCATGAACTTGAAGAGCGTGCCATACTACGGGATAGACAGATGAAGACCGGGCAAGTTCCGACGAATGCTAATCCGAAAGTTAACCAGGATCAGGATTCACCTGTGTTCCAGACAGTCGTAAATTCATCCCAGTTTTTGTCGGAAACCTCTTCGCATACCTCCACGTCACCTGTCGCTTCCATCCAAGACGAACCATTAGCAGGATCACCACCCGGATTCCGGTGTTCTTTCTGCAAAGGCAAATTCCGAAAGCAACAAGAGCTAGATCGCCATATCCGCATCCTCCACAAACCCTACAAATGTACCTTGTGTGACTTTGCCGCTTCCCAGGAAGAAGAACTCATCGGTCACGTGGAGACGGCTCACATAACTGCCGACCAGGGTGCCAAGGCGGCCACAAACGGGTCAAGCGAGAAGTCAAAGTCAATCGGCGAATACCCTTGCGAGGTGTGCGGACAAACCTTTAGCCAGGCCTGGTTTCTTAAAGGCCACATGAGGAAACACAAAGATTCTTTCGAGCACTGTTGCCAGATCTGTGGCCGACGCTTTAAAGAGCCCTGGTTTCTCAAGAACCACATGAAAGTCCACCTCAACAAGCTAGCAGCTAAAAGCAATCATTCTGAACATCCTTCTATCGGCATGCTAACTCAGGAGCATCGAGGCAACATCTATTCTCAGTACATGGCCAGAATTCACGATCGGTTTATTTCCGATAGAGAGCAGAATGATTATAACAATATGATTGGAGTGGACATCAAAGTGAGAGAAATGTTGCAGAGGATGGCGTCTCCGAGTGCGCCAATGGCCGATCTGGAAAGCTTGAATCGTCTTCACTCTTCTCTCAGCTTGGAATACCTCCAGAAGGCAGTGGCTGAGAACAGCAGAGGCAGTGGAGGTGGTGGTGGTGGATATTCAGGATGGCAGATCATGGCTCCAGGAATGGCCTCCTCCGATCAGGGAATGTTCTCGAGTCAGCAGGGCGCCACCTTCCCGCCTGAAGATGGAGATTCAGAGGCGATGAGTAGACCCAACAGCACCGACGAGGGCCATCTGACAGAGATCATGGCGGAGACGGGGAACTCTAGCAGCAGCTTGGAACACACGCCACAGTCCACTTCACCCATGACAGGTAACTGAACTGCATCAATCAATCAGCTCTGCACAATACAAATACAAACAAACATTAAGAACACAAAAAACATTAAAAACATAGAAAATAAATGAAAAAGCTTAAGACATTAAAATCACACATGGGATTAAAATTTAAGTATACCACTGACTAAACTAAGCTGTAGCAATCGCATAATTTATATTAAGTTAATTTAGAGTAATGATTAGGGGGTGGGAGATTAAAAGTCTGAACTTCTTCCCGCTCCTTTTCAAGCTGGATTTTTGTTAATGAAACAAAACATACTGTATATTTGTATATTATCATGTATTACAAATCTTAAATAGCCACAGTGCAATAAAAAACAGAAAAAATAAAATCCTTCAGTTGTGGAGATGAAATCCTTCAGTTGTATGCACAGCAAAACTTAAACTTGGATTTTAAAACTGCCAGAGTAGAAGCCTGTCTCACATTTTCAGGAAGATTGTTTCAGATTTATCTGCATAAATCTGAAATGCTGGCTCCCCATGTGTAGTCCTGACTCTGGGCAGCAGCAAGAGAAAGATTTATATTTAATATACAGTACATTGGTGACAATTTCCAAGTCTTGGTCAGCTTGGAAATTGGAAATAAGATTATTCAAGGCTACTCTACATCACATCTACAGCGAGCAGGAGGCTTTGAAGATATCAAAATTCATTTTCATTCACAGCTTTAATGTTTTTCAGATGTTATATTTGATGTGCAATTTAGTATATTTTTTGTACAGCGTGCTTCTTATGTGCGGCGTGTATACTACAACAACAAACATGGTCCTAGGCACAACTGACTTCCATGTAAAAAACCTTTATTATCGAGGGACGGCAGCTCGTTTCGTCCGATCAGGGTCGAACTTAGTTTTTTGCATACGGATCCTGGAAGAAATACAGATCCTGGAAGAGCACCTGTCTCGTAAATATACCTAACCCACAGCAGCGCTCACTTGCCCTCTTACCCTAACATCTTATAACCGATCAGGAAAGTTCATCTCTGTCTTCTTAGTATTTAGGTATTTCTTCTATACCAGACAACAGTGAACATGGGGACGCTTCTTGGTTCGGCCTTTTCCTTTGGAGCTTTGTTCTTGAAATGATACGTACCTGTACAAATACATCGTAAACTGCTCAAATGAACTCCTACTACCAAATAGTAAGTTGGCGATGGTAATAAACCTTGACATTGTCTGATATAGAGGAACCAAATACCTTTATTAGCATCATATACCTGCTACTATAACAGAACAGATGTCTTTACATGAAGTCAGAAGAAAACTTTGGCTTGTGCGCACCGCAGTAATTAGTTTAGAGGCTGCAGCTGTATTTTCTGTGTGTGCACGGCTTTTGACAGCTGCAGCAGCACTGAATTTTAAATCAAGTACATGTATTATTGTACAGCTCTAAATCACATCAGTAGTTAGCTCAGAGCACTTTACAAAATCCTTGAAATCGCCAACACAGATCAGAGAATCAAACTGTTCAAACACAAAAATACAGTATGTAACTCTTCCAATCAACATCTGTTTGCGTTCTTTGGGTGTACATTATTGATAGATCTAACTTCATTCTTTTATATGGGGACAAGCTAGCCTGGTCTTACCCCATACCTTCGTAGTAATTATATCCTAAGTATTTCGTACTAAGGTCTGAATTTGCTCCATTGATCTCCGTTAACAGGTGATCAGATTGAAACCATTGGATCTGAGTTTCCCGTGACATATGTAATGCGCCCGAGTGAGTTGCTACCATTTAGCATTTAGCTTAACTTTAGATTTTATTCTAGCTTTAGCCATCTCCTTTGCCATCAACAAAGCTCGTGGGGAGCGATGCCACAACATCTTCTTGCCAGCAATGAAACTTGCTAAACATTCCTCTTGCTCCAACTTCAATTTCTTGATATTTGAAGCCAAACCAGAACGGATTGAAGAGCTTTCGCCGCCATTGCCCAACTACAACCAACAAATTCGGCTCTTGAAGTTACCGACACCCACCTACAACACCCCACCCCCCCCCGCACACTGATTGGTCGGAGTGGATTCAACCGAGAGAACTGCAGCCACTAAGATCAGACCCAGACGTACTGTACATGTCGGGATTTGGTAATTAACCAGAGTTTACGGATGGCTAAGGCCAGGCTAAGGACAAGCAGGACCCTCCACCAAAACCCACATCTATTTTAAGTATAATTATTCAAGTTATCAACGTTAAAAGAATTGTCCATAACAATACCTTTGAAATCTCTCAAGAACGACAAAAGAATCAGACGTTTCACAAGAACATGAGGGTATCAAACTCTCCCCACATCCCCTCTACATGCAATATTATTATCGTTAATGTCTTCCTCTACCATATTATAACCTCGACGATTACTGCGTTGTCTTTTATATCACCGCAGACATATGAAAGACATGACAATCGCACAATTCAAACTGAGCTTCTTTTAGTATCCCACAGCAATTTAATTCCTCTTTCGAAAGCAAAGTAGTGCTATCAATTTAACAGAAAGATTATACATCAGCATGCAACCACAAGCCACAATTACCAAAGAAAATGTGAATTATAAAAGCCTGCTTTGTTATTTCATGCGTCCTTTCGCCTCTTATTTGTTCATCGTCGAGTGTAGGTGGACACGAAGCTTCAGGTCACTATAGATATTACTGTCATCAACTGGGATTGTGTCTGGAATGGCATCGTGTCGAATGGGAGGGATAATTAGTACCCTGTTTTTTGTTTTGTTTTTTTTCATACGTGCCACATCCCCAGCCTTTGCCTACGGGGGCACAAGATGTTAATGCTTGCCATCTGGTGTTTTTAATGATTTGATCTATACCACCCAGTGATTTTTATGATTTGATCTACCACCTGGTATTTTTATTGATAGTCTTCTGTTCCACCTGCGATTCGGATGATTCGGATCCCTGGGTAAAAATGTCTTTCCAGTCGTGGCGCACCGCTAACTTGTTATTTGGTGAATCTAAACTACTGCAAGAGACGGGAACAAAAAGAACATTCATTTCAATGTTTTTTATTTTCCTATGGTGTCAGCTTTCGAAAGTCTGTAGCGCTCTTTTGGGACTCCATCCAATATCCTCTTAAATGATGGCCGTGCAGGCGCGATAAATGGATCAGGTCTAATCCCGTTACACGTTTTGTTCCCATATTGTCACTTTATGCTTTTATCTCCTTTATTTACACCCATGTTTAAAGGGGAAGTATGTGTTCATTCTAAAGTGAATCTACAGCTTGTATGTGTGTCCAGAGATAATAGGTCCATGTGTACAAATCATGCTTGACCTTTTTTGAACGAAAGTTTAAAGAGTTATTCTTGATTAGAAATACATCGGTCCATAATATTATAGTTTGTTTATGTTTTTCAAGCAGTTTATCCAATAAGAGCAGAGTGACGCCCTCGTTTGGGTTGCCAGTTTCTTTAGATAGTTGTTTATTAAACGTATATAGGAAGATTTTTCCAAATTTTAAACAAATTTTGAGAAAACTCTCTGGTCTTATTTCACAAGCACGTATCACCAGAATGATTGATAATTAGGAGGACCAATTGTTTTGATGATCCACCCGGAAGTAGAAAAACCTCCCATATACTTTTAAGCTAAACGTTAAGCTATTTTTTAAAAAAAGTTATCAATATTTTTATTTTTTTCAATCAACTTTTTTCGTGTTGTGTGCTCCTTACTCTTACCATTCTGTAACTTGTGGAGCATCAGTGGAATTTCCCCACTGTGGGACTGATAAAGGATCTCCTAATCTTAATCTTTGTTAGCTGAAATGCAGCCGGTCTATCTTTTTAATATATATAACAAACCCATTAATCATATCTAAATGAAAACATAAGTAGTCAAACGTCAAACATAGAATTTAAACTTTTTCTAGCGAGACATCTTTAATGAGTAGGAGCCACATGTGACACAACACTGGCCGGAAGATTCTGGCAACAAAACTTGGATTACATTAGACTACTAAGAGTCCATGTTACATTCTGTCCGTTTAATGTCGACAAATCACATCCGGCGCTCTCCTAAAGAAACATATTCCCACTTCTTGCTCAACTACCCTATCGCGTCCACCATACACCAAACATTTTACAGTCGCCGGCGCTTTCAGACGGATTTTCTCAGTTGGCGAGATGGCACGTTGAGTATCAGCCTCTAATTTCAGTCAATATTAAGCATGGAAACTAATTCATTGTAAAGGTCAGGCGTCATTGCTTTAGTCAATGATGAATCCGGCCTGCTGCCTCCCGCTCCCCTCTCTCTCTCTCTCTCTCTATCTCTCTTCTATGTTCTTAGTCCGGGTGTAATGGTAGACTCACTCGGGGGCTTAGCAGCGCATTGTTTAGCCCTGACAATATATCCCACGGACCTCTGCAGCTGCTCCCCGCGCTCACAATGACAGATTAATTAACACAATCACACGAGCGCTGGCCCTGGCTCAACTCTCAGGTCTGCGCTGGGACAGATAGGTAAATCCGTACACATATGGAGAGCACGCATCACTTCATCAGGCTGTAATAACTGGGATAACTTTATTTTGGGAAGGGGGGGGGGGGTATAGGCTGGAGCTTGAAACTGATCAGGACGGTCTGGCGGCGCTCTTGGAGAAGAATCAAAAAAGCAAGATGGCGCATATGTGTGTGTGTGTGTGTGTGTGTGTGTGTGTGTGTGTGTGTGTGTGTGTCTAATTCAAGAGAGCGGAAAAATTACCACTAACAGATGTTGGAGCTTGAGGAACATTGATTGGTCCCGAATTACCGACTGCATTATTCATCGGAGCCTATGGTGGTCATGAAGTTATTGATGGGCTCAATATGGATCACAAAATATACTGCATCGGCTGTCATTCCCTTCAACTTCTTTACTATTTGCATTTATCATATGATTCTGGCTCTAAAACAGTTTGGCTTCTATCGTTTTTACATGTATTTTTGGCCCATTTTACGTCACTAGATCAGCTTTTTAACCCAGAAAAGTG